GATTTGGGGGAGGGGGTGGGGGATTTCGCTTCGACGAGCGCGGTAAAGAAGACAACGGTGGGGTACTTTTTTCACGGCACTTCATCTCACTGTGAAAAAAAAAGTCAGAACTTCACGAAAAATTCGTTGTGAAAAATAAGTTGCCAGAACTCTTTGTGAAATCACAACCCTTCTTCGTAGTGAAAAATTTATCAATTCCAGAAACTAATACGATATGGTTCACAACTATTTCCAAGTAAGAGAGCAAAATGCACTATTTTTGACTACAAAGAAGTGTTGTGATTTCACAGCTGCTTCGTATCTCGAAAGTGTTGGGAAATCACAAAATATTTTTAACACAGCTGTGTCCTGATGTGGGTGATGAGAGTAAGATGTGTGGTTTGTTTTCATCATCGTAGGAAGAATTTTTATCATGGGGTGAGGTAAAATTACCACAGAGCGAGCGGTACGTGAAAAAGTACCCCAACCGCTATAAAATGACGTAACTATATGGTTAAGTTTATCTGCGACCCGCATTCCGACGAAGTATAGCGAGACCATTGAGGACGATAGGGACGGGGCCTGGGGCCTCCTCGGGGCACAAGAGCGATCGACAAGAGGAGGGGCGCTGGGTAAAAAAAAACAAGATGAGATAATAAAGAGGGAGAGGGAAAGATCGCAGTGAGAAAGCTTTGCTTAGTGAGCAGCCGAGCGACGAGGGTTTGATTGGTTTTCAGAGAAAAGCCAAAAGAACCCTCACTTACCATAAATTCATTTTTAAAAAGGCGCCTATACCTTTCAAAAGGAAGCACTGTGCACACCATTTCTTTCAGAAAAGATAGAAATTCTAAAAGGAAATTCTCAAACGATTGTCAAACCCCCTATCTTCTAAAAATAAAGCGAGTTATTGGACTTGGGCTAACACGGTCTAACATTTCAGTTATGCAGTTACTTCTGAGGTGACAAAAAATGTCCAATTGTAATCTTAAGATCGCAATAATACAACATGGTCAGCACAAAAATGCCCCTTTGGCAGCTCTTTTTTTCCCAACAATTATTTCAAGAGTGTGCGTGCGTAGCCCATCAGCTGCGCAAATAAACAGCCAGAAAGGCGCCGTAGAAGCCTCTCTTTTTAGCTCTTTGAAAAAGAGTGGGGGATGAAAAATACGGCAACGTGCTAACGTTTGTTTGCTGAATGCAAGGCCAGGCTCCAGCCTCTGCATCAGCGCGACTTTTCCTACCCTCCACCCTACCCAGCACAGGTGAAGTGAAAATGAATTTTGTGCTCCTCACGAGCTAGGATCACCGGGATCACCGCCATACACCACCATACATACCAGTATGGTGGGTTGCATAAGCATCGGCTCGCAGGCGCTGTCGGGGGCACGCAGGATTTCGCGCATCCCTGTCGAACCGCGGGGGATGCGCGAAATTCTGCGCGTTCCCGACAGCGCCTGCGAGCCAGCACGCCAGCAAGTATGCAACCCACCATACTGGCATGTAAGAGTTTGCCTTATGGCGCCTTACGGGTAGAGCGGGAAGACAAACCCGCCCGTACCTGCGTCCTGCGTCTTCTATCTAATCAGCAGGTTTACTTTTTAACGTAATTATGTTTAATACGAATACAATAAGGTTTTTATCGGGTTTCGACCGTTCGTCAGAAATGTCCAAAATAACACAAATGAAGATACCATCGACAAAGGTCGACAAAATGGTAAATTTTCTTGAGCGGAAGTACCAATATGGGCTTAACTTGAAGAGTTATTCGAAATTTTGAATACGGTTACAGCTTGGTGGAGGGAGCAATTCAGTAAATTTGCTTTAGGTGATTTTTTTTTCAGTGTTGGCACGCGTATCGGTGCAGCCATGCCCTTACTGCATTATTATTATGATCGAAGGGCAGCAGCGGCAGCATAGCATGGCATGATCGCTCTCAATGTGTGCAGCGTGCAGCAGCATAGGACTCAAAGACAAGTTTGTTTTTCTACCCCGCTGGTCCAGGGTCAGAGCGAGAGAGAGAGCGAGAGAGAGGAAAGGGGGGTGGGGGCAAAAGGGAGATGATGGGTGTCTGTTTGATGAGGTCCCTGTGGAGCAATGTTTGTGTAACAAAGCGGGACATGGAAGCCGGGCCAGGTCGGCTGACCCGCGGGGCTCCAGGCTCCAGGCGAGGGCAGCGCTGTCTCACTCGCACACTCGATACCAAAGAGGGCCGGCACAAGCCCAGAGAGAGAGAGAGATGGAGAGGCGACTCGCACGCCGAGTCCGTCCGTAGCGCCCTAAGCAGGGTGGGGGTGGCCCATTCAAGCCGCACCACGGCGGTATGGTATACGGTCCATGGCAGCAAGCCTGCACAAAGCTTCAGGCGACGCCCCAACGGTCACCTGAGAGCGTCCTCCTCGCCTCAAGGGGGCCGGGCAGGGGCCGGGCAGGGGCCGGGCAGGGGTCGGACAGGGGGCAGGGGTCGGGCAGGCAGGGGGCAGGGGTGGGGCACAACCAGCACTCCCTCCCCAAAGATTGATCTGATCGAGATGCCGGCGCACAGCACAGCAAGCAGGCACCCTCCGGGTACACTCGTGCGCGTCCATCACTATGGGACTAGAAACGAATAACCAAGCTCTGTGTGAAAAAGATTAAACAGCCGGAAAAGGGCGTGATGGAGGGGGTGGCGCATTAAATAAGGGGGTGAGTTCCAGAAGTCAATAGAATAGAGGCGTGATTCGTAAATGTTTCGAAGATTCTCACATAAAAATCGTTTATTTGTACAAAATGTGCAATAGTCTCTAAATACCGGCGCAAGAATATCCCTGGCCTCACTTCGGTAACTAAACAAACACAATCCCCCTCCACAAACCTCAACCTCCCTTCGGTCAGGTGGTGGGACGCGTGTATACATTTTCATTTTCAATTATTATTGGAAAAGGCGAGCGCGTCCGATGGTCCGGTCGTGGTGTCCAGCCAGCCAAAACCTCGTGCAAAAACCACAAAGGGCAACATAGGTACACGGCGGTATCCTGAATGAGGGCCGGCCGGAGGGCACCGGGAGCGCGCCGATGGCCGTCAAATAGACTGACGGCGCGATCGAGGAGGACAAGAAAAAAAGGTAAGAATAAGGATATCAAAGGGAGCAAAGTATTGGCTCGGCTCGGCGCATCGCAAATAATCTGCAGGCATGCGTGTGATTCCTATTGAGATCGAGACGGCACACACGAGTAGGCCCCAGCCCCGCTGCGCCCCCTGCAGAGAGCAAGGGAGAGAGCGGGCGAGAGAGAGAGAGAGAGAGAGAGAGAGAGAGAGAGAGAGAAAGAGAGCAGAGAGAAAGAGAGCAGAGAGAGAGAGAGAGAAAACAGGAGCGAGAGCGAGCGAGAGAGGAGCGAGAGCGAGCGAGAGAGGAGCGAGAGCGAGCGAGAGAGGAGCGAGAGCGAGCGAGAGAGGAGCG